AAGAGTGTTCCTTCTTTGATTACTGCCGGTAGGCAATGATCATATTTTACAGGCAAGAAGAGGCTTTATAGAAGCAGCAGCCAGAGCTGAACAGGTGGTAGCAGGTGGGCGGGCGGCCCTCTGCTTCCATCCCAGTACCTTCACACCCTGGGAACTACAGGGGAAAAAAAACAGCAAACCCCTGACATTACAGCCTTCATCTGTTGAAAAGTCTTCCAAAGCCATGTCTGTCCAGCACTAACAACGTGCCATCTGGAGTAGTGTCTGGCTGGCCCCACAAGAATCACAACAGTTAAGCAAGAGGTCTTTTCAGTGAATAATTGTTGGAGCTCAGCAAAAATCTCTCAAAACATAGCAGTTTGCACATTGAGGCAAATGAAAATGCCTGTTAAAAACTGTTAGGGGTAAGGGAAGTCATTTTACAAGGATATTAGAGAGCGAATTAAGGCTATGTAGGAATACATAATAATACAACTTTGGATAGTATAAATCTCAAGTAGACTGGTAATGTCAGAAAAGGTTTAGCACTCTCAAACAATTTATTGTTATAACAACAACAATAAAAATATGCTGAACATTCTCTAGGGAGTGCAATGTTTTAGGTGATACTAGACACACATAATATATTTAATTTCAATTAAAGTGAATTGCTTGAATATATTTAAGCTTTAAGATAATTTAATAATATGTAAGAGAAAAATGTGGACTTAATGCAAATTAACTGAAAATATCTGAAGAGACTGATATAAATGCATACAATTACAAAAACACTTATATGCACATAATTACCCCATAATTTTGCCACTAGTACATGCAGTACACATGTACAGATCCACTATATACATATAATTTATGGCATAGGAAATAAAGATTACCACATTTTACAAAAGCCTTCAAAAAGTTACAGGAATAAAAGAAGAGCTGAAAACAAGTTAAAATTAACACATTAAAAATAATTTGACTGTGACTGCCAAAAGATAAACTTCTGCAACTAATAATGGCAGAGCATTAAAAAAACACTGAATGTTGATATTGCTTTTTTGGAGGGGTGGTTGGTTTTATTGCTTTGGTATGTCCACAGACTTACAAGAAAATGTATATGATTTTATGACTTTTCCATATGAAATGAACAGAAAGACTAAAACGTGTCACGCTATGATTTATTATCTATATTTGATTTCAAGCTTAATGAAACTGGTACCAAGCATTTGTAAATTAGTAATGTTTTCATTAGGGACACAATACTGTACATTTGCCTAAAACTGCAGATCAATTGTTTCTATTATGACTCCAAAACCCCACATAGTCGTAAACAGTTGATTAATCCCTAGAAGAAGCAATGACAATGAAATGAGGTTGAATAATCTGAAAACAATAGGATGCAATTGAACGTTAATGGACTTCAGCATGACAGATGTTGAACACAGGCTGTTATGCACAGTTGCTTCTACTCTTAATATGCTGAAACCTAAATGGTCTTGATCATGGGTGGTGATGATGGTAGCAGAGAGTCTATATTATTCTATTATCAAAATGTCTGATGTACTTCTTTAAAAATTGAAAAAAGATTTAGTTCACGTTTTATCAAAAGGTCGGACAATCCTCTATGTGCACTGAGGTCAGTGCACTGAGGAGAACAGGTATTCTCCAAACCATTAAGTTCTCATCACCACATATTTTAATATCACTTTCAAATGACCATTTGTAATTAACTGGTGTTGGTGCTTTTGTCCAAGACACAAATTTGGAAAGGTAACTTCCAGAATGAAGTATCATCATATGTCTTTCCTAAGGGTAGTACCAATTAGATTCTAAAAGATGTTCTTCCTTAGTGGATATTGTTATTGGGAATTATATATCTGCAACAGCAGAAAAAAAACCTAATTTGAAAATTACTACCATTTCAGGCTTCAGCATACATTACATAACCTGAAGACGATTAAGTTACATAAAAGTTCTGTTAAAAAGTGTTTAATAAAAAGGTTTGGGATTCTTATGGGATTTTAACACAAATGAGTACAAGTTTTTAAAGTAATAATTATTTGTAAACTAGTAAAATATGTTCTGAATAAATATAAATGCATTCTCATGAGGTATACAGTCACTAGTATCTTGAGATAAACTTATTTTAGTGGTAAAATAGTACAGGTATTTTTATATCAGTAATGTGGGGAAAATTTCCTTAAATTATTATATGGTAGAATTCCAATTATTTCCATTAGCTAAACAGAGTAGAACCAGGTTTAAAAAAAACCCCACCCATAATATGTGACCAGTCATGAAGATTTTTTTTTTGTTAAAAAAGTGATAAGAAATGTGGAAGTTTTAAACTCTGAAAATTTACCAGAAAAGGCTTACTTTTATATTCAATTCCACTAATGAGCAGAGTTGTGCTGTTGGATTTTCTCCCTTTACTAACAGGCTGATGTACATCACCACAATTGGGATAATATGCCAGCTTCACCAGGGGAGAGTCAGCTGTGAATTTATAATTATCCCAGACAGAAGATAAATCTTAGCCTTATTAAAATGTGAAAATTCTATAAAAAACACACTATGTCCCTTAGTACCAAAAAATAAATTAAGGAATAGATTCTGTTTTAATAATAACGTTTCCCAAGGCTTAAATTAAGGGGAAAAATTATCCTAATTCCATATCAAACTACATGTTGTGCTAATTGTTAACTTACACATTTTTATAGGAGAGTGCATTAACTATTTAAGGATATTAGTATTTTATATTTGAGGATGTATATGAAACAAAATGTTTCTATCTAAAAAAGTTGTTTAATTTTTTCCACAGAAATCTCAGCAATAAGACCTTGTTGTATGTTAACAAATATTGTTAATTTCCATGGCCAGCTGTACATACGAAAAAGAGTGATTGAAAAAAGATAGACCTGAAAAATTCAACAAGTTAATTATCACTGTCCGGTCAATATGAGCAATAAGAGAAAGCAATGTGAGAAAGAAAAGACATCGGTGAGGTTCTTTTTTGTTTCTTGATTTCTCTCTCATATATTTGATTTTTCCATATATTTCAGTTATATCTCAGATACCATTTATATCACCTATGTAAATCATCTATATAAATAGATATACAGTCCATAGATAATATTTCCTTTTCCATTTACTTTCATTCATTTTACAGGGATTTTACCCTTTGCTCTGATACTTTTTCAGTCATTTTTCAAATACTTCCTAAATTTTGTGGGGGGATTTATTTTCTAAATAGTACAACTACACAGATTTTCTAGTCTGTCATACTGTGGGTGATAGAATTCTTTATAGATCCTTAGCCCACTGTTTCTCAAGAATTTCTTTTTTAATCTTACTTTGTGATTTCCTAGCATTATCTCAGTTCAACAAAATAAGAAACACCGGAGCAAAGTGCTGCATGTAATCAATTAATCAGATTTAAGTATATAAAAGACCAAAATATGCTGTCAGATATACATGCATAAATCCAGGTGACTTTAGTGGAGTTACCCAGGATTTAATCTTGTGTAACAAAACCTTATTTTTTGTTTTTTGAAAAGAGAGAGAATATAGCTGATAATGCTTCTTTCTTGGTGCAGCCATAAGCAGGAGTCATTGAACCTCACTACAGCATCATCAAATAACCACTAACACTTGAACTAAAATGGCTTGCTGCTTGAAAGTAATGTTTACTTATAGTTTCTCTTCCCTACTGAATATTTGTCTTTGGCATTCTTGTCAGTAATTTCAGAGTTTAGCAGCAGCTTCTAGCATTATGGATTTGAGTTGTCCAGAGCATATGACTAGGATTAAAAATAAACCACATATGTTAAAAATTACCTGCTTGATATCCAAGTTGATTAATTCGATTTATCAATGACAGTAACAGACAGCAAGAAGAACTGAATACCAGCTACATGCATCTGTCTGACAAGTATGATTTAATCCCTTTTGTGCTGGGATGCCTGGGCCCAAGCTCTAATTTTAAAAAGAAGTATTGGGAGACTACTAAAATAACGCCACTCAACAGCATTTCAAACTAGCCCATCACACTTTGTCTCCTCCAACAGCGTTATAAATGAGATTTGCGAAAGTTGTATCAATAGAAAACAGCTACCTTACCTCTTTCTCCTGGTCAGAACTAGCTCTTTACCTTCCAAAAATCTTTCACGGGTAAAGTTCCCCAGGTGAAGACTCCCGATCACTGCTGGAGCCTCAAAGACCATTTAAACTGAAGTGAAAGACTAGTAGAGTAGTGTACCGGCTGCTGCTTAATTGACAGCAGGTGGGTAACTACCAAAGTATGAGCCCGTTAATGAAAGTCAACTTCAGGTAAGGTTTGACTCAGCTCAGAGAAGACAGGACAGGAGAAGAGATAAAAGCCCATGACCTGGCAGCCATGTGTCTCCATACTTCGATTATTTATCTTGTTTCCCTACTACGACTGAAAGACAACAACAAACAAATAGCAAGGAGTGAATGTGAGGGAAAAGAACAGACAGAGAAAAAAAACACTCACAAGGGAAGCCGAACAAAACCAGTTCTTAAGCATGACAAAATAATCCCTTCCAGTAATAGCTTCAGCTTCCTTAACACCCCTGGATCAGACATCCTTTCCAAGCCTTCCTTTGCCCTAACACAAGCACTGAGCTTTGCTATCTGCCCCATCTTTATCCTGTGAAAAGAGAGCCCCCATCTGGGGAAGGGCTCAGCCACCACAGCCACCATCAGGGACCACTGCTGCTCCCTTCCTCTTTTTCCACCCCCATTACCAAAAATTCTCTTTCTGTTCCCCTCTGTCTTACTTAAAACTCGCAAGAGACACTGCTAGTCTACCGGGTGGGAGAAATAATGAATAGCTCTCCCACAGGCTGGGGTAGAACTATACCTCCCATGTCAGCTGCTTCTGAACAAGGGTTTAATTTTGTTTTAAAGACA